ACTTATAAGACTTTGAAAGCAATGTTACCATCATTAGGGAATTTATCCAAACACGCGTGAAAGGTTGGGTCATTGCACTTAGCATACGACCCCGGAACATATCTTTGAAAGCTGTTTGATCTTGCAGGGCCACTCCATTTGGTGCTGTGTTTCAAAATGTCTGGCCCATAACGATTCCGCGAATACAAAGCAGGACTATGAGCACAAAATATCCAGCGATTGTTCACACGACACTTAGTATAATGCGACGTTTTGCTAAGCTCTGGAGGAGAAAACAGGTCAGATGACAACACGCTGTGGCCCCATAGTTCTATATCGATGTCAGGAGTGAAAAATTCTAAACTTCCATCTAACTTTAACGGAGTACGATCTTTGTGGACACCAGCCGGTTTGTATCCACTAAGTTTAAAACCATTTTGTGATATAAGACTAGATTGAGAGTTTACAAAAGATAAGTTGTTTGGAGATATAAACAAGTCTGCGTCGTTGTCAAATGGGTTGTAGTTGTTGAATTTCACACATGCCAGATTTGAACCAGAATCAAGTTCATAATGAAGGTTATTTTTTACGGATAAATCGTGGAAAAATTTCATGGCATTTCCAAATTGCTCCAAACAGCACATAGGAAGAGCTTTGTATCTAGTTATTTGCCTGGCATCACACTTGTATGAGATTTCTCCACAAGAAAACTTATGTCTGACCCCGTAATCACTCATAACCACCCGTACTAACTTTAAGTCTGTTGCAAGAGGCCGCCATATTGATTTGCTGTTTTGTTTAGTTTCTGTAGAGTAGTCTGTTGTGAAATACATTGCATCAGGGCAGTTCATTATCAAGTTTCCAGATCGAAAAACCCGAAGAAAGAATTCTTCAAACAAGATTTCTTTGCTATACTTTTCACTGAATTTGAGGCTTTTCATAAGATCAGTTCGGGCAACGAATGGCCCTTCCAAGTCGTCACAAAACATGCATGAATGTCTTGAGTAGTGGTAACCTTCTTCATACTGTAATACATAGTTAAATAGTTTAGTTTGTCGACATCCAACTCGCCAATGTCCAGTAAGATTACGGAATGATCCTCCAACTATTGCAACATGGTCTGTTGTACTTATCATGCGAATTTGTCGTTCAACACGTGTAACCCAAGTAAAATGAACAACATCGCGTGCAACAAGTGTGTATGGAGTTGAGACCACATTGATAAGTTGGTTCCACACTTTACCAAGAGAGCTGTCTTTACTGACAGCAACAGTTTTGACATTTGGGTACTTTTTCGAAGCTTCTTCCATTTGGTTTGTCTTGGCTGCTAAGAACACTTTGACTTGTGGATAAGTTTGGTTGATGCCTTTTAACACTGTTTCAACCTGTTTTTCCATTGATTGAGGATACGCCATTGTATTAAGAACAATGCTAACGACCTGAAAAGTGAGAGGAAGAAAAGTCCTGTTAGTTTTCATCTTTTGAACCAAGGTTTCCCCTCTGTGAATGACTACCAACTTTTCATAATTTGAAAGTTTTTAGAAAGTTTAAAAAGA